TTGGTGTTTATTTGTTATTTTTATTATTCTTCTTTTGTCAGATAAGACTTCTTTTTATCTAATTCGTATTATTTCTTATGTATTTTGTTTTTGCATTATTTTATTAATCCATCTCAAACGATTTTTTCACTAGTGTAAGGCCACTACGTTCTTCTATTATCAAAAATGATAGAGATTCATCACTTTAATGAGTTAATCATCTTTTGTATAGTAAAGTGAGTTTTTACTAATCTTAGCGATAACAACCTCTTGTGGTTGTGATCTTTTCATAAAAGTCTTCCAGTAATAGGAAAGGGTATAACAACAAGAATTGACAAGTTTTCACAGATGATAGAAAATAGAAAGAAATTGAAGGATAATCACATTTCTGAAATACAAAGCAATTAACAACTATAATAAAAGAATAAGTGTAGGTAAAAAATAAACTTTTTAAATTTCCAAATCATAAAGACAAGGTTATTGTCTCAAATTTTCAACCAGATAGCAAACAGTTAAGAAACTAATTTAATATTAAAACTCATACAATTTATTCTATACTTACTTTAACACTATTTTTTTTTAAATTCTATTAGTTGTTTAGAAACTAATGTTTGCATATAATATCGTTGTTTTAAGAATCAGATTTAAGATTTTTGTTAATAAATTTTATTCTTTTCTTTTTTTATTTTATTATATACTTTTTAATACATCATTTAAACTTAGCGTGTTATTTAAAAAAATTGAATAACAAAAGAGATATTTTTAAGATAATCATAAAAAACTAGATGAAATAAAAAATTATAATAAAAGAAAAAACTCAAAAACAAAAAAAAAAAGAAATTTAAAGAAAAAGTGAGATGAACGCCCTTTCACAACCTGAGATTAATTTCATCAAAGAGGGTATTAAAACAAATATTAGAACAGATGGAAGAGCCAACATTCAATTTAGAGAGATTAAATGTGAGAAAGGAGTAATTGATCAAGCAAATGGATCTGTTAGATTATGTCTTGGTAAAACTGAAGTTGTTGTTGGAGTAAAATGTGAGTTAGGAGAACCATCAATACTAACTCCAGAAAGTGGAAGATACAACGTGTTAGTTAAACAAGTTGGAACAATGACAAGTCGTGATGTTGAAATAGAGAAAATGATTCTTGTTTCACTTGAAAATGCAGGAAAAGATATGTTACAAGAACTGTGTGTATTAAAAGGGAAATTGTGTTGGATTATTTATGTTGATGTAGTTGTAGTAGAAGATGATGGAAATGTTATGGATTGTACTGGACTTGCTGTAAGAGCTGCTTTATTAAATACATTAATTCCAATAGTTAATGTAATATCAGGAGATTCTGATACAGTACAAGTTGATATAGACAAAGACAATGTTCAATTTAAAAAATTTAAACCAGAGTCAGTTCCGTTATGTGTAAGTTTAGTTCAATTTGAAAAAGAATTTATTGCTGATCCATCCAAAGTTGAAGAAAAATGTAATGGTTCAGAAATAACTACTGCAATAACTTCTAATGGGAAAGTATGTGGTATACAAAAAGGAGGAAATGGATGTTTTAAAACTGAAGAAATGTATGATATGATTATTGTTTGTTGTTACAATTTATTTGTTTTCAAAAAAAAAAATAATAATGACAATGTATTTACTTTTATAGCAAGCTCAAATGATTGGACTGAAATTATTTAAAGAATTAGATGAACTTTTAGAAGAATAATTGAATTAATTTCTTTTTAATTTCATTAAAACACTAAAAGAACTTAATAATTAATAATTCATGACACAAGTATTTTGTTCACATATTTTAGTAAAACATACTGGTTCTAGGAATCCACATTCATGGAGAGAAACAACGATTACTAGAACAAAAGAACAAGCAATTCAAAAATTAAAAGGTTTGTTAAAATTCTTTTTAATTTATTTTAAAGTACTAATAAAAAGTATTAAGAGAACAAATTGTTAAAGGGAAAAAAGATTTTCGTCAAACAGCAATAATTGAATCAGATTGTTCAAGTAGTACTCAGGGTGGGCTGTTATTAGGAACAATAGAACAATATCAAAAACCATTTGCTGATGCTTATTTGAAATTAAAAGTAGGAGAAATTAGTGATATTATTGAAACTGATTCAGGTGTTCACATTATTTTACGTTTACCAGAAGGAACAACTCAATAAATAATAATACTTTTAATTGAGTAATAAAAATGCATTTCAATTATTTAATAAAATTCAAGAACCATCAATGATTTTACAATGAATTTTTCTGGATTTTTAACAAAAATAGAAGAACCTTGTCCAACAGAATCATTATAATAATTACTAAAACGAGAAGAAAAGTTTGATTCTGAACGTAAGTTGATTTTAAAAGCACCTTGAATAGCAATAACAGAAATCATATAATCGTTTTGGAAAATATAAACAGAATTTCCTAATTTTAATGGATAGAACCGAGTTGGTTGAACACTTTGGTGATTAATTAATGTAAATATAAAATGACCAGCATCTTTCTTAATCCAGTTAAGTGGTTGAGGAATATCAATTGATGAATATGAACCAAAAACACTACCATCTTCTGCAAAAACAATAATCATCATATTTTTTCTTCCACAAATTGCTTGGTTAAATTGAACTAAATCAATATCTCCAATAGTTTTCTCAAATATAATTCTAAAATTCCTCATTCCAGTCCATCGTTTTAATAATTCAGTATCAATATTTGTTAAAGAATTAAAATCAGAAGATACTGACGTTGTTGGATTTGAATGAGATAAACCACAATATCTTAGAGCTAATGATGCTAATTCAGTATTTCCTTCATTTTTCCAGCGTTCTCCTAACATTTGGACATTCTTAATAAATAATTCAATAGAAATGTTTGTATACTCTTGAAATAATTCAAACATTTTATCTCCTAATGATGTTTTACCTTTTCTTATAATAGCAGCAACCATTTGAGGCATATTACGATTAACAAATTGTTTTCCAAGATGTGTTGGAATAATGTTCATTGCTTTTCTTTTATCTAATGAATATTCATCAACATTACCAGCAACAAATGCATTTAAAAAAGTAGTTTCATTATAATAAAATCGAGTAACTTTATTTTGGTCTTGTAAACCTACAGCTGAAATTAATAAATTTTCACAAGATTTAGTTCTATCAGCATCAATTAAAATACCTAAATCAATAGTAGTTATTATTTTTAATATATCATTTTCAATTTTAGTATAATTAATAGCCTCTTCTAAGTTTACTCCAAACTTTAAAATTTCAAAAAATAAATCTATTTGTTTTTGTTGAGTAAACCATTGAAAATGAATTGGGATATTTCTCATATATTTAATAAAATATTTACCTGGAATTTTTGGAGAAGGTATTTCAATAATACTATTGTTCCAATTTATTTTTTCAAATTTTGTTCCAATGCATCTTTTTTTCATAGTTTCTATTTCAATGGTGTCAACAATTTCATTACTATTATCAGAGTAATGAAGGAGTGTTTTAGATTGGAAGAAAGATGAATCACTTAACATTCTTTTTTATAAGTTTTTTTTAAGTTCATTTTATTTTGAAAAGTTCTTCTTAAGAAAAGTATTATTTATTATTTGTAAATAATTTATTTATTATCTTTAATATATGAAAATTTCATTGTACTTTTTCTATTAAGACCAAATAGAAAACCATTAAAAATAAAATTGAAGTTACATATTTTTTTATTTGGATGTTTGAGGCACTCTAAGAATATTTGAAGCATTCCTGAAATAATATTCACTCCATACACTAAATTCACTCATATCAAATATTGGAAAGAATGTTGTTGAACCTCCTTTGTAATTTGAATTAATAAAATCAGTCATATGGTCTAAAATATATTCATATAGACTATTTCTTGGATTTATATCTTCTGTCTTAATTGTGTTTTCAAAAAATGTAGTAAAACGACCATCATATAAACTATCAGCAATGAATATTAAAAACTCTTCATTAAATTGGAATACTGTTGAATTATTTTTCATTAAATGATGAACTGCTTCTAAAAATTGAAAGAATATTGGAGATGTTGCCTTATCACTTATTGTTTCTAAGTTATTACGGTATCCGTTTTGATTTACTTTTTTAA